ACCTTAAACGAAATAGGATGAATATATCACTATATATCTTTGTTATTCATCAAATTTATGGACGTCTGATAAGGAGCTAAAAAGTCGATCTCAACAGACGGCGTCGCATTCCCGCCGGTCTATAGTCATTTGATGCAGTCCATGAATTATTTGACTTTGGTTTCAATGAGAGGAGACAATTTCTATTTTCAATACAAGTCTTTATTGCTTGGCCTTATTCAATTACAACTTTAATCTAGGACTGAATACCTAAGTCCTACTACGTCTTGTTGGATTAATAGGCCTGGGGAATAAGATCGAGTTACTCTTGGTTTAGTGTTTGCTTGTAGTTTTCATAGGATTGAAATACAGCTTTCACGATGTTTGTGATATAGGAAAAAAATTCACTCCCTGTAAGATGTTCTATGTATTATCTCGATATATTTGTAAATTCAATCATCTCCTAAGATTTATTCACAGATTACTTTCACATGAACCTCAGGTGACTACAGTAATATTATATTGTGATCTGGTTACGCTCCGTTTACTTTAAATTGGTCAGCTCTAAAAAGCTCTCTGGTACGATATCACTTATTAACTTTTTAAAAATATATTCTTTCAGAGTCCTTATGGAGATTCCCTTTGAAAATGGTTTGATATCTAGGCTCGATTTTTTTTCATATGGACATAAATTGGGTTATATTCGTAGCGGGTAGGCGTGTATAACCGATTTATTACATTCCATTTTCTCCATAAAGCTATAGGAAAATTAAATAAATAAATTTTTAAAGAGCATAAATAATGAAGAGAATACAAACCTGATATCGTATGATACCATTCCCAGGATGTGACCAAGTCAATGTTATGAGTGTCTTGAGTGTGCATCTTCAGTCCGATGGATCGCGGGAAAAGGATTGAAACTCTCATCTCTGTTCATCATTCCAAATAATTGTTTGATCATAGTCAATTCACTTATGTCTATCTGAGGTTTTGCCTTCTACAAGACAAGGAAGTGATTTAGAGCATGGACAATGAGGTTCATACAGTTAGATATTATCTGGTCATAACCACAGACATTGATTAATCTATAAATAGTGCGAGTTGGCAGGATTGTGCATATGGTTTTAAGGGATAAAAATCTCGCTCATTTGTATCGGCGAAACTAGTCTTGCCGACTAGTAATCGTCAGCATGTGGTACGGGTCGCCTTTATCACTCGAAATTTAAGTAATAAAATTAGGTCCACCATCGAGCTATGACCCTCGAAGCGTATTACTCGGCAAAGTGCCTTTCTACTTTTTTATCCAAATATCAGGGGAAATGTTTCATTGCTATATTTTTTCTTCGTCGAACGTATCCTACATTCTCATACGATTTTTTGTGTGTTGGCTTGGACGATCATCCATACATTTGGTAATTAATTTTTCTTAACTTGACGGATCGCCACTCGTTGATTTGATTATTTTCATTTCAGGGAAATCGAATCATCCATATCGAAGGACTCGACAGGCTTGTTAACCTGGAGCAGCTATATCTTAGCCAAAATGGCATAACAAGCATCAAAGGCCTCGACAATCTGAAGAAGTTGCAGACACTCGACCTTGCTTCGAATATGATTGATAAAATAACAAACATAGAACACCTCGACTTATTAGAAGAATTTTGGTTTAATGACAACAGGGTCTCCAGCTGGGATGAACTCAAAATTCTTACATCTCTAAAGAGTCTGCATACTCTCTATCTTGAACGAAATCCTATTTACTATGCTAACGCAGATAAAACAAAAATGAATCCAGACTACCGTCGCAAAATTTTGCTGCTTCTCCCTAAACTCCGCCAGTTGGATGCCAATTTAACTGGAGTTGGCCTGTGAAGCGACTTATCCATGTTAATTTCATATATTTTCTGGAACGATTATCTCAAGGTTAATCAACCACTATTCCATCTTGCTTCTCGAATCCAGTCGCCAGCTTATCGAAAATTTTGAGTGGCAACGACTAACTTCATTACTCCACCACTCACCATTTGACACTATCCCGTAGCCGAAGTATACAGGCCTGGAAAAAGGCTAATCTGGACTGATTCGTTTCCGCTTCAAACTCAGTGTGAACCGGGCCCCACTTTGTATACATTACCTTTGTAATTCTAAATTTTGCTGAGTGGAATGGATCGCTCATGCTAGTGACTCACTTCTCATATTGGTCTGGCCGGCTCATATCAGCACACACTCGCTCATTTTTTTATCTGAGAGACATGCACTATTTATGAGCTCACCCAATTTTTGTGCGCATCTCGTGCGGCCTACGAGAATGAGGTAAGCTGACCCAATTTTCCCATAAGTCAAATAGTAAAATGGCTTAAAGAACCTTCGGACGTAACCCTAGTGCAGACAATCCACTAGTTGTAAGAATTGAGAGATGTAAGACCTACTATCAAATCCTAAGGCTATTGAGCAGCCGTAGCTCTTCGTTTGGGTAATCTCAGAATACATGCCTT